AACCGCAGGAGGTCTTGGTACACAGATGATTGCCTCAGATGTCGTAGGAAGGTACAGAAATTTTGCCTCAGACATCGTAGGAAGGCAGAGAGATCATTGCATGAGACCTTGTACGAAGGTAGACAGATCATTGCATCAGACGTTGTAGGAAGATACAGAGATCATTGCCTCAGACGTTATAGGAAGGTACAGAGAACATTGCATCAGACGTCATGGGAAGGTACAGAGATCATTGCCTCAGATGTCGTAGGAAGGTACAGAGATAATTGCCTCAGATGTTGTAGGGAGGTACAGAGATAATTGCCTCAGACGTCGTAGGAAGGTACAGAGATCATAGCCTCCGACGTCATGGGAAGGTACAGAGAACATTGCCTCAGAAGTTGTAGGAAGGCACAGAGATTATTGCCTCAGACGTCGTAGGAAGGTACAGAGATCATTTCCTCAGACGTCATAGGAAGGTACAGAGATCATTGCCTCAGACGTCTTACGAAGGTACACAGATCATAGCCTCCGACGTCATGGGAAGGTACAGAGAACATTGCCTCAGACGTTGTAGGAAAGTACAGAGAACATTGCCTCAGACATTGTAGGAAGGTATAGAGGTCATTGTCTCAGACATCATGGGAGAGTTCAGAGATCATTTCCTCAGATGTCCTAGGAAGGTACAGAGATCATTGCCTCAGATGTAGGAAAGTACAGAGATCATTGCCTCAGACGTCGCAGGAAGGTACAAAAATCATTGCCTCGGATGTCGTAGGAAGGTACACAGATCATTGCCTCAGACGTCTTACGAAGGTACACAGATCATAGCCTCCGACGTCATGGGAAGGTACAGAGAACATTGCCTCAGACATTGTAGGAAGGTACAGAGGTCATTGTCTCAGACATCATGGGAGAGTTCAGAGATCATTTCCTCAGATGTCCTAGGAAGGTACAGAGATCATTGCCTCAGATGTAGGAAGGTACAGAGATCATAGCCTCCGATGTCATGGGAAGGTACAGAGATCATTGCCTCCGATGTCATGGGAAGGTACAGGGAACATTGCCTCAGATGTAGGAAGGTACAGAGATCATAGCCTCCGATGTCATGGGAAGGTACAGAGATCATTGCCTCAGACATTGTAGGAAGTTACAGAGGTCATTGTCTCAGATATCATGGGAGAGTTCAGAGATCATTTCCTCAGATGTCCTAGGAAGGTACAGAGATCATTGCCTCAGATGTAGGAAGGTACAGAGATCATAGCCTCCGATGTCATGGGAAGGTACAGAGATCATTGCCTCCGATGTCATGGGAAGGTACAGGGAACATTGCCTCAGATGTAGGAAGGTACAGAGATCATAGCCTCCGATGTCATGGGAAGGTACAGAGATCATTGCCTCCGATGTCATGGGAAGGTACAGGGAACATTGCCTCAGATGTAGGAAGGTACAGAGATCATAGCCTCCGATGTCATGGGAAGGTACAGAGATCATTGCCTCCGATGTCATGGGAAGGTACAGGGAACATTGCCTCAGATGTAGGAAAGTACAGAGATCATTGCCTCAGACGTCGCAGGAAGGTACAAAAATCATTGCCTCGGATGTCGTAGGAAGGTACACAGATCATTGCCTCAGACGTCTTACGAAGGTACACAGATCATAGCCTCCGACGTCATGGGAAGGTACAGAGAACATTGCCTCAGACATTGTAGGAAGGTACAGAGGTCATTGTCTCAGACATCATGGGAGAGTTCAGAGATCATTTCCTCAGATGTCCTAGGAAGGTACAGAGATCATTGCCTCAGATGTAGGAAGGTACAGAGATCATAGCCTCCGATGTCATGGGAAGGTACAGAGATCATTGCCTCCGATGTCATGGGAAGGTACAGGGAACATTGCCTCAGATGTAGGAAGGTACAGAGATCATAGCCTCCGATGTCATGGGAAGGTACAGAGATCATTGCCTCAGACATTGTAGGAAGTTACAGAGGTCATTGTCTCAGATATCATGGGAGAGTTCAGAGATCATTTCCTCAGATGTCCTAGGAAGGTACAGAGATCATTGCCTCAGATGTAGGAAGGTACAGAGATCATAGCCTCCGATGTCATGGGAAGGTACAGAGATCATTGCCTCCGATGTCATGGGAAGGTACAGGGAACATTGCCTCAGATGTAGGAAGGTACAGAGATCATAGCCTCCGATGTCATGGGAAGGTACAGAGATCATTGCCTCCGATGTCATGGGAAGGTACAGGGAACATTGCCTCAGATGTAGGAAGGTACAGAGATCATAGCCTCCGATGTCATGGGAAGGTACAGAGATCATTGCCTCAGACGTTGTAGAAAGGTACAGAAATTGTTTTCTTAGAAAGGAAAGGAAAAGGAAAAGCCCCCTTATTAAAAATGACCTTGGCTCCATGAGCTACTCTTGGTGAAAAGCTGTTTCTATCATTTGAGAAACTTTGCCAATTCCGTAAAACTGTGATATTAAGCTTCATTCATTCTATCTGTCTTGCTCTGGCTTCCAAACAAATTTCATATGAATTTCAAAATAATAGTTTTGACTGCCAAATGTGTAGCGACCTACACGTCTTCCTGCACTCTTTAGTCTTCATGTCAGATCCTGCATAGAGGAGACTCCTTCCAAGCTGTTGCTTTGAGGTTGTGGAATGTCCTTTCTCTGTCCCTTGGTGTCGCTGTCTCTGTTGGCTTGAGACTTTAGTATTTAGACAAACTTTTAGATGATTGTGCGTTGTTTTTAAGTGGCTCTTTGTGATAGTATTGTACCTTTATCTTTTTAAATAGATTCGGTAGTCTGTTTTGTTAGGCAATGACATTTTATATTTGACTTTAATTATTTTGTTTAATGTTAAGCACTTTTTGGTTTTATTTGTGAAATGTGCTCCATATATCAAAGTTCTTCTCTCTAATGAGAAGTCGAACATTGAAACAAGAATTGGATCAATAAATTAAGCCTAAAATGTTTTGGTTGAGTCCTCTTCATCGTCCATCAGGCTTCAAACAGGATGCTCTCCTCTGAGCTTAGAGGGAAACAGCAGAGTGCCTGGACGAAGTCAAAGGAAAGTACCAAGATGACCTTTGACCTCTGTCCATGCTGACTGAAGCCCAGATTAGCTGCTTCTATGGGAGCCTGGAGGTTCAGATCATGACCTTCAGAACTGCTAATGGTCTCTGTGGCGAGTGGCATGTGAGGGAACCCTGCCGCGAGTGACCTATCAAATATGGAAATATGTGGTTACACTGACAACTAGAACAATAGCTTTTGACTGAACCTTAAATTCATCTTTATTTTAAGTCTAAATCGATTCCAGAGCAAGTTTAAACCAAGCAGTTCTCTAAACTTGAGGTCAGGCATTAGCGGACCTACCTACTGGCTAATCCGGACCCAACCTGATTTAAAACATTTATTAATTACCGCAAGTTGTCTGATGACAGTGTCTAATTTAACTTGCGCCTCTTCTCCTGTTAATACGGTAAAGCCCTGGGGAGCGTCCGGCTCCAGGCTGCACGTGATCCAAATGAGCCAATGAGCTGTCAGTCTGGGTTGCCGCTGCTGCTACTTTTAGACACAGCAGGCAAACCTGTGGCAAGCCGGGCGATGGGAAAGAAGGAGAAGACCATGAGAAAAAGAGAGCAGAGAAAGTGTGGACTGCTGGAAGAACTGCGGTGAACTGGTGAAAGAAAAGTGAAATGGCGTGCTCAAAGATGACCCTGCACATTTAGAGGATGTTTGGCTCAACCTGCTGCTGTGAAGCAGGATTCTCCACCATGAACAGAAACAATAAATCTGGATCCAGGCTCAAAATGAGCACCTTGATATGTGCTTGAGAATGGCTTAGTCTCCGGTTAAACCCAGGTTTAAAGCCTTGCAGGGCAGCCTAAAGCCCACTGCCAACATTAAGACAGAAAAAAGAAAGAAAATAACAAACCATCAGTTCAGGGGTTTGAGAAAATGATTTTTGTTCTCTACTTAAACACTTTTTTTTTAATATTTTTTATTTAAAAATTCAATGTATAACATGGATGCATAAACACCTGATTTTATTTCAGTAAAATTCTGTTAAAAGTGACAGATTATAATAAAAAATGTCTCCAGACCTTTACTGGTTGATGATTTTCTTTATTCTGAACCCACCGATTTTTAATTGGTTCCCCCTGATCTAAACTGAGACCCGATGGGAAGGTCTCCTGTGTGCAGACTGAGCGTCTAACTGAGGAGCTTCACTTTGCTCAAACAACTTCTCTGACATCTGCAGAGGTTTGGTGAGAAAAGGTGGATATTTTAGTTTGTCAGAAACGACCTGCATATGTCGGCTGTTTACTTCCCTTTTTAAGGATCTTTCTTTTTTGTCCCGATTCTGTTTCCATTGGATTTGAACTGTCGCTAAAGACGGGCCTGAGCTGCTTGGCTGACCCGTTAAAGAGACCCGTTAAAACTACCTGTTCCAGTGACCTGTTAAAACGACTTGTTCAAGCGACTTGTTAAAGCGACCCATTAAAGAGACCCGTTAAAATGACCTGTTCAAGTGACCTGTTGAAGGCAGGTTTATGCTCAATGCGTGTGTGATAAACGACATTTTAACATTTCTGTACCCCACACCCAGAACACTACACAGACGGCTCTGAATGGAAAAACCTGGACGGGTGACTGAGGTGGCGAACGGAAACTTCCAGAAACATCTTTTGATTTCGGCCCATAAATATAATCATTCAACAGGTTGTGATGAACAGGGCTGGGTTTTCTACTAATACATGTTGTGTGGCGTTATGAGCTTGCTGTCCGTGCTCTACACCGCCCCCTAAAGGGGGCCAGTGTATCCTGGTGAACGTGTCTGAGCATCCTGCTCATTTCTGCCATGACATGAGCTGCTGAAGGAAAGAAGATGTGAAAGCAGGAAATGAGAGCTTCCTCTGAGGTCCAAATACCTGCAAGGAAACAGAACCAACAGAACCCAAACCCCCCTGAGGCAGTCCTGGGGTCAGCAGGTCTGGAAGCTTACCGTGGCTGACTGCATGCAGCTTGACGGTCTTGGAGATCTTGTCCTCGTAGTTCAGTGAGCAGGACTTCCTGCTGACCTTGGACTTGAACAGCGTGTTGACGAGCGTGGACTTCCCCAACCCGCTCTGACCTGCAGACATGACACCTTCAGTCTGGAGAGGCAGAGATACCAGAGATTGGACCAGAACCAGAGACTGATCGGACCTAATACCAGACCCAGAGTCTGATCGGACCTAATACCAGAACCAGAGTCTGAACCAGAGTCTGATCGAACCTAATACCAGAACCAGAGTCTGATCGGACCTAATACCAGAACCAGAGTCTGAAACAGAGTCTGATTGGGCCTAATACCAGAACCAGAGTCTGAAACAGAGTCTGATTGGGCCTAATACCAGAACCAGAGTCTGATCGGACCTAATACCAGAACCAGAGTCTGAAACAGAGTCTGATTGGGCCTAATACCAGAACCAGAGTCTGATCGGACCTAATACCAGAACCAGAGTCTGAACCAGAGTCTGATCGAACCTAATACCAGAACCAGAGTCTGATCGGACCTAATACCAGAACCAGAGTCTGAAACAGAGTCTGATTGGGCCTAATACCAGAACCAGAGTCTGAAACAGAGTCTGATTGGGCCTAATACCAGAACCAGAGTCTGATCGGACCTAATACCAGAACCAGAGTCTGAAACAGAGTCTGATTGGGCCTAATACCAGAACCAGAGTCTGAAACAGAGTCTGATTGGGCCTAATACAGGAACCAGAGTCTGATCGGACCTAATACCAGAACCAGAGTCTGAACCAGAGTCTGATCGGACCTAATACCAGAACCAGAGTCTGATCGGACCTAATACCAGAACCAGAGTCTGATCGAACCTAATACCAGAACCAGAGTCTGAACCAGAGTCTGGTCGAACCTAATACCAGAACCAGAGTCTGAACCAGAGTCTGATTGGGCCTAATACCAGAACCAGAGTCTGATCGGACCTAATACCAGAACCAGAGTCTGATCGGACCTAATACCAGAACCAGAGTCTGAACCAGAGTCTGATTGGGCCTAATACCAGAACCAGAGTCTGATCGGACCTAATACCAGAACCAGAGTCTGATCGAACCTAATACCAGAACCACAGTCTGAACCAGAGTCTGATCGAACCTAATACCAGAACCAGAGTCTAATCGGACCTAATAACAGAACCAGAGTCTGAACCAGAGTCTGATGGGACCTAATACCAGAACCAGAGTCTGAACCAGAGTCTGATGGGACCTAATACCAGAACCAGAGTCTGAACCAGAGTCTGATCGGACCTAATACCAGAACCAGAGTCTGATCGGACCTAATACCAGAACCAGAGTCTGATCGGACCTAATACCAGAACCAGAGTCTGATCTGACCTAATACCAGAACCAGAGTCTGAACCAGAGTCTGATCGGACCTAATACCAGAACCAGAGTCTGAACCAGAGTCTGATCGGACCTAATACCAGAACCAGAGTCTGAACCAGAGACTGATCGGACCTAATACCAGAACCAGAGTCTGATCTGACCTAATACCAGAACCAGAGTCTGAACCAGAGTCTGATCGGACCTAATACCAGAACCAGAGTTTGAACCAGAGTCTGATCGGACCTAATACCAGAACCAGAGTCTGATTGGACCTAATACCAGAACCAGAGTCTGAACCAGAGACTGATCGGACCTAATACCAGAACCAGAGTCTGATTGGACCTAATACCAGAACCAGAGTCTGAACCAGAGTCTGATTGGGCCTAATACCAGAACCAGAGTCTGAACCAGAGTCTGATTGGACCTAATACCAGAACCAGAGTCTGAACCAGTGTCTGATCGGACCTAATACCAGAACCAGAGTCTGAACCAGAGTCTGATTGGACCTAATACCAGAACCAGAGTCTTATTGGACCTAATACCAGAACCAGAGTCTGAACCAGAGTCTGATCGGACCTAATACCAGAACCAGAGTCTGATTGGACCTAATACCAGAACCAGAGTCTCAACCAGAGACTGATCGGACCTAATACCAGAACCAGAGTCTGATTGGACCTAATACCAGAACCAGAGTCTGAACCAGAGTCTGATTGGGCCTAATACCAGAACCAGAGTCTGAACCAGAGTCTGATTGGACCTAATACCAGAACCAGAGTCTGAACCAGAGTCTGATCGGACCTAATACCAGAACCAGAGTCTGAACCAGAGTCTGATTGGACCTAATACCAGAACCAGAGTCTGATCGGACCTAATACCAGAACCAGAGTCTGATCGAACCTAATACCAGAACCAGAGTCTAATCGGACCTAATACCAGAACCAGAGTCTGAACCAGAGTCTGATTGGGCCTAATACCAGAACCAGAGTCTGAACCAGAGTCTGATTGGACCTAATACAAGAACCAGAGTCTGAACCAGAGTCTGATCGGACCTAATACCAGAACCAGAGTCTGAACCAGAGTCTGATCGGACCTAATACCAGAACCAGAGTCTGATCGGACCTAATACCAGAACCAGAGTCTGATCTGACCTAATACCAGAACCAGAGTTTGAACCAGAGTCTGATCGGACCTAATACCAGAACCAGAGTCTGAACCAGAGTCTGATTGGACCTAATACCAGAACCAGAGTCTGAACCAGAGTCTGATCGGACCTAATACCAGAACCAGAGTCTGATTGGACCTAATACCAGAACCAGAGTCTGATCGGACCTAATACCAGAACCAGAGTCTGAACCAGAGACTGATCGGACCTAATACCAGAACCAGAGTCTGATTGGACCTAATACCAGAACCAGAGTCTGAACCAGAGACTGATCGGACCTAATACCAGAACCAGAGTCTTATTGGACCTAATACCAGGACCAGAGTCTGAACCAGAGTCTGATTGGACCTAATACCAGAACCAGAGTCTGAACCAGAGACTGATCGGACCTAATACCAGAACCAGAGTCTGAACCAGAGACTGATCGGACCTAATACCAGAACCAGAGTCTGATTGGACCTAATACCAGAACCAGAGTCTGAACCAGAGACTGATCGGACCTAATACCAGAACCAGAGTCTGATTGGACCTAATACCAGAACCAGAGTCTGAACCAGAGACTGATCGGACCTAATACCAGAACCAGAGTCTGAACCAGAGACTGATCGGACCTAATACTAGAACCAGAGTCTGAACCAGAGACTGATCGGACCTAATACCAGAACCAGAGTCTGATCGGACCTAATACCAGAACCAGAGTCTGAACCAGAGTCTGATCGGACCTAATACCAGAACCAGAGTCTGATCGGACCTAATACCAGAACCAGAGTCTGATCTGACCTAATACCAGAACCAGAGTTTGAACCAGAGTCTGATCGGACCTAATACCAGAACCAGAGTCTGAACCAGAGTCTGATTGGACCTAATACCAGAACCAGAGTCTGAACCAGAGTCTGATCGGACCTAATACCAGAACCAGAGTCTGATTGGACCTAATACCCAGAACCAGAGTCTGGTCGGACCTAATACCAGAACCAGAGTCTGAACCAGAGACTGATCGGACCTAATACCAGAACCAGAGTCTTATTGGACCTAATACCAGAACCAGACTCTGAACCAGAGTCTGATTGGACCTAATACCAGAACCAGAGTCTGAACCAGAGACTGATCGGACCTAATACCAGAACCAGAGTCTGAACCAGAGACTGATCGGACCTAATACCAGAACCAGAGTCTGATTGGACCTAATACCAGAACCAGAGTCTGAACCAGAGACTGATCGGACCTAATACCAGAACCAGAGTCTGATTGGACCTCATACCAGAACCAGAGTCTGAACCAGAGACTGATCGGACCTAATACCAGAACCAGAGTCTGAACCAGAGACTGATTGGACCTAATACTAGAACCAGAGTCTGAACCAGAGACTGATCGGACCTAATACCAGAACCAGAGTCTGATCGGACCTAATACCAGAACCAGAGTCTGATTGGACCTAATACCAGAACCAGAGTCTGAACCAGAGTCTGATCGGACCTAATACCAGAACCAGAGTCTGATTGGACCTAATACCAGAACCAGAGTCTGATCGGACCTAATACCAGAACCAGAGTCTGAACCAGAGACTGATCGGACCTAATACCAGAACCAGAGTCTGATCGGACCTAATACCAGAACCAGAGTCTGATTGGACCTAATACCAGAACCAGAGTCTGAACCAGAGTCTGATCGGACCTAATACCAGAACCAGAGTCTGATTGGACCTAATACCAGAACCAGAGTCTGATCGGACCTAATACCAGAACCAGAGTCTGAACCAGAGACTGATCGGACCTAATACCAGAACCAGAGTCTTATTGGACCTAATACCAGGACCAGAGTCTGAACCAGAGTCTGATTGGACCTAATACCAGAACCAGAGTCTGAACCAGAGACTGATCGGACCTAATACCAGAACCAGAGTCTGAACCAGAGACTGATCGGACCTAATACCAGAACCAGAGTCTGATTGGACCTAATACCAGAACCAGAGTCTGAACCAGAGACTGATCGGACCTAATACCAGAACCAGAGTCTGATTGGACCTAATACCAGAACCAGAGTCTGAACCAGAGACTGATCGGACCTAATACCAGAACCAGAGTCTGAACCAGAGACTGATCGGACCTAATACTAGAACCAGAGTCTGAACCAGAGACTGATCGGACCTAATACCAGAACCAGAGTCTGATCGGACCTAATACCAGAACCAGAGTCTGAACCAGAGTCTGATCGGACCTAATACCAGAACCAGAGTCTGATCGGACCTAATACCAGAACCAGAGTCTGATCTGACCTAATACCAGAACCAGAGTTTGAACCAGAGTCTGATCGGACCTAATACCAGAACCAGAGTCTGAACCAGAGTCTGATTGGACCTAATACCAGAACCAGAGTCTGAACCAGAGTCTGATCGGACCTAATACCAGAACCAGAGTCTGATTGGACCTAATACCCAGAACCAGAGTCTGATCGGACCTAATACCAGAACCAGAGTCTTATTGGACCTAATACCAGAACCAGAGTCTGAACCAGAGTCTGATTGGACCTAATACCAGAACCAGAGTCTGAACCAGAGACTGATCGGACCTAATACCAGAACCAGAGTCTGAACCAGAGACTGATCGGACCTAATACCAGAACCAGAGTCTGATTGGACCTAATACCAGAACCAGAGTCTGAACCAGAGACTGGTCGGACCTAATACCAGAACCAGAGTCTGATTGGACCTAATACCAGAACCAGAGTCTGAACCAGAGACTGATCGGACCTAATACCAGAACCAGAGTCTGAACCAGAGACTGATTGGACCTAATACTAGAACCAGAGTCTGAACCAGAGACTGATCGGACCTAATACCAGAACCAGAGTCTGATCGGACCTAATACCAGAACCAGAGTCTGATTGGACCTAATACCAGAACCAGAGTCTGAACCAGAGTCTGATCGGACCTAATACCAGAACCAGAGTCTGATCGGACCTAATACCAGAACCAGAGTCTGATTGGACCTAAGCCCAGAACCAGAGTCTGATCTGACCTAATACCAGAACCAGAGTCTGATCGGACCTAATACCAGAACCAGAGTCTGATTGGACCTAATATCAGAACCAGAGTCTGAACCAGAGTCTGATCGGACCTAATACCAGAACCAGAGTCTAAACCAGAGTCTGATTGGACCTAATACCAGAACCAGAGTCTGATTTGACCTAATACCAGAACCAGAGTCTGAACCAGAGACTGATCGGACCTAATACCAGAACCAGAGTCTGAACCAGAGTCTGATCGGACCTAATACCAGAACCAGAGTCTGATTGGACCTAATACCAAAACCAGAGTCTGAACCAGAGTCTGATTGGACCTAATACCAGAACCAGAGTCTGATCGGACCTAATACCAGATCCGGAGTCTGAACCAGAGTCTGACGAACCTAATACCAGAACCAGAGTCTGATCGGACCTAATACCAGAACCAGAGTCTGATCGGACCTAATACCAGAACCAGAGTCTGATCGGACCCACAGACTGAGGACAGAGAGAGATTATTGATGAGCATCCTTTTTATAAACAGGCTTCAGATGTTGGTTGGAGTGAAATAAGAGAGGAAGTGGAGAAGATCTGAAGCTACAGGGGAGGAAAAGAAAGACAACACCAGAACCAGAACCAACACCAGAACTAGAACCAGAACCAACACCAGAACCAGAACCAACGAGGGAAGCAAGGAAATCAAACCATCATTAGACCATCAGTCTAGTTGGTGTAAAGAGAATCTGTAGCAGCAGTAGAGTCGGTTCTGTGATTTTGTTCATTTCCGGTTCTGGTTCTGTTCGGTTCTGCCTCTAACAGCCTAAAGATCAGATTTCAGTCCTAGTTTAATTTTGGTCTGGACTTTGACTAGGCCTGATGTTCTGTGGAGCTCAGAGTTCTGGGAGCAGAACCAAAACCAACAGCAGAACCAGAACCAACAGCAGGACCAGAACCAGAACCAACAGCTGAACCAGAACCAACAGCAGAATCAAAACCAACAGCAGAACCAGAACCAACAGCAGGACCAGAACCAGAACCAACAGCTGAACCAGAACCAACAGCAGAATCAAAACCAACAGCAGAACCAGAACCAACAGCTGAACCAGAACCAACAGCAGAACCAGAACCAACAGCAGAACGGCACCAGAAGGCCGCCGGCCTCCTAACAAGAGGAAGCGTTTTCCTCTCAGGTGATCTTTGTTCTGCTTCTCTGGGTGAACTTTGTTCCCCGTTTGGGTCGATGGTAGCTGCTGCCGTCTCTCTCTGGGTGGTTCACTTCCTGTTTCGCCTCAATCTATTCACTGATCTCTTTAATCTCAGGTCTTTTCCTGGTTCTTCCTGTTTCTTTTGAATATTTTAGTAAAGAGTTTATTTCAAACAGTTTGGCTGCTTTAAGACCTTTCCTAACGTTCAGGATAAATAATCAGGAAGAACTTCCTCCTTCACAGGATCAGCCTCTTGCCGCCTTCTGTCACCAGAATCCCTCGTGCAAAAGTCCTCAACTTCCTGCTAATGTTAATGCTGGTAGCACCTCTGTGTATTCCAATGGTTTGCTGCATCTTTGTCAAACTGACAGAAAATCACAAGTTAGGAAAAATAAAAAAGTTCATCATGAATTCCTAAGGAGAAGCGCCTCCATCGAACAGTTTCATTGGACTGCTTAGATTGATTAGTGTAAGTCACTATCATCCAAAAATGAGTCATGGAGAGGAGAGCATGGATCTGTTTGACGCGCTGAATCCAAGGAGGAAACGTAGGAAACATCCCTAACGCTTTACTGCAGTTAGGGATGTTTATCGTTCCCTTTTTCTGTGAAGCCTTGCAGGTAGATTTGCAGACTTATTTAGCTCTAAACTGGCGATCAACAGAAATATTGGCACCAGCCTTAGCCTCTCTCTGAACCAAACAGCCCCAGAGCAGATCCAGGTGATATTCATTAGACAATCATTCAGCTCCACCCACACATGCCAACACCCACTTAAAGCTCCACCCACACATGCCCATTAATACCTCTAACACATCCACCCTACCCTTAGAGATCCTTGCCTTTACAGTCAAGAAAGAGCTGAATGTTTGATGCCATGTCAACCTGCTTCACAGAGGCACATGGGGCACACTGTGTTGCCATGGCAATGACTGCACCCGCCACTGCTGAGGGGGGAGGGGGCATAATCTACCCCATCCGTACCATCAGCTCATTTGCACAGCCTGATATAAATCTAGGTGTCCATAAATGATGTAATTATTGTTCTAAAATTCCTTATTTTTAATCCTTAAATCACTGAGGAATGCTGATACAGATCTTTAAAAATGTTCTATGACTTTCAGACATTTTCTTTTTTCTCCGTTATACAGTTCCTCAGCAGTAAATCTAATTAAACCGTGTTTATCTGCATTTCACTTTTTTCTTTCTTTAGATTAGGCACTATTTAGCATAATGTTAACATGAGAGGAAAACATTAAACTCAAAAAGACTAAATTTATGTTTAAATCCAAAGCTGATAATTAGTGTAGCATCCCATTTCCCGTACAGATCAGGAACAGAGGGATAAAACAGAAAGGAATTTAATGCATTTATGTTATCAAGAAATACGTTATTAAACTTTAACACATTATAGTTTAGTTGTTTAGTACTTTTGGGAGAGGAAAACATAATTTAGGTTTTTTTACAAAATAAACCTGCCGATCTGGGTGTATATCTATTTGTAGAGATGAGCGATGGTACGGATGGGGTAGAGACACCTGTTCTCATCTTCTTCCTGTCCTTCAGATTTAAAAGCTGCTGATCCTTTAGACCCACTGCTGCCCCCCATTGAGGAGGAGTGGAACTGGACTGTTCTCCCTGCTGCCCTCTGGGAAGAGGCTTCCCAGCATTCAATGCAGGACCAGCAGGTTCTGCAGCAGCTTCTTCCCCACCGCCATCACACTGATGAACTCTAAACCTCAGACTCTGCATCACACTGATAACACCAAACCAAAATACTGCATATTTGCACCAAACATTTATATTAATGCTCTAAACGTCCAGATCGATGCGTTTTATCCTCCATGTTTTTTCTCTCACGCTGTTTACATTTGATCACTGCTGAACTTTATGGAATAGAAATGGTTTGAAAGCTGAACAACACTAAATTTGTTTTATATTCAGTCTGTGTAGAAATTGAATCAAAACATTTGAATTCTTATGGATGAAACATCTGGTGCCATGTATGGATGAGAAACAACATTTCAGTTCAGACGCCCTAAAACCTCCGGAGCCTCTGGTGGGTCCAGAAGCTTCAGAACCCGTCAGCAGATCCCCGGATGTTTAGACGGCTGCAGGTTCTGGCTGAGTGGGTCCGCCATAAAGGGCTGGCGGTGTTCAGCTTCTATGCTGAACCCGCTGATCTACGATGGTTTCTGTGATCTATAAAGGGTGGATCTGCTCAGTAAACAGAAACTTCCTCATCAGAACAGATCCCGTTCCTTTTATACTTTACATTACCACCCCCCCCCCCCTCGCTGTGCTGGTAGGCGGGGTTTCGTGGCGACTCACCGACCACCATAATGTTGAACTCGAAGCCAGCCTTCATGGTCTTGCGCCTCATCTGGTCCAGGACCGCCTCGATGCCCACGTAGCCGAACAGGTCGGTTCCTCGGATTAATCCTGGAGCCGACGGGCAGAGCTGCAGCTTCACCTTGGCCTCCAGCTCCGACTCTCTCCTGCTCTCCTCTGTCTCCATCCCCTTCTCCTTCACAGGCTCCTCATGCTCCTCCATGCAGCTCTCCTTCTCCGACCTCGAGCTCTGGATGTTCTGCTCTCCGTCTCCTGTGATGACATTCTGCTTCTCCCCTCTCTCCTCCATCAGGGCTGACGGCTCAAACAGCAACTGTTCGGCAGTTTCTGTGGAGACACAGGAGATGCTAAGACTCTGAGGGTCCACCTCTACGGGAAGGTCTGAGTCTGGATGAAACATTTAATAAGCAGAGGTTTTTATTTCACATTCAGACCCTTTTCTCTGATTCCTCAGAAAGATTCTGGGGCTCTGCTCATTAAAGCCCAGCAGGTCGTCCAACTGAGAGCAGCACTCCCACAGTAAAGCATGGAGGGGTCAGGATCATGCTGTGGGATGTCAGGAAACCAGGTCGTGATGACAGAAATGGGCTTTCCATCAATACAGATAGAGAGGTTAGGAAAACCTGATAGAAGCTGAAGGAGACCTGAGGCTGGGATGGAGGCTCACTTCCAGGGAGGAGAACCAGCCTGATCATCCAGGAGGAGAACCAGCCTGATCATCCAGGAGGAGAACCAGGCTGATCATCCAGGAGGAGAACCAGGCTGATCCAGGAGGAGAACCAGGCTGATCATCCAGGAGGAGAACCAGGCTGATCATCCAGGAGGAGAACCAGCCTGATCATCCAGGAGGAGAACCAGCCTGATCATCCAGGAGGAGAACCAGGCTGATCATCCAGGAGGAGAACCAGGCTGATCATCCAGGAGGAGAACCAGGCTGATCATCCAGGAGGAGAACCAGCCTGATCATCCAGGAGGAGAACCAGCCTGATCATCCAGGAGGAGAACCAGCCTGATCATCCAGGAGGAGAACCAGGCTGATCATCCAGGAGGAGAACCAGGCTGATCCAGGAGGAGAACCAGGCTGATCATCCAGGAGGAGAACCAGGCTGATCATCCAGGAGGAGAACCAGCCTGATCATCCAGGAGGAGAACCAGCCTGATCATCCAGGAGGAGAACCAGCCTGATCATCCAGGAGGAGAACCAGGCTGATCATCCAGGAGGAGAACCAGGCTGATCATCCAGGAGGAGAACCAGCCTGATCATCCAGGAGGAGAACCAGCCTGATCATCCAGGAGGAGAACCAGCCTGATCATCCAGGAGGAGAACCCGGCTGATCATCCAGGAGGAGAACCAGGCTGATCCAGGAGGAGAACCAGGCTGATCATCCAGGAGGAGAACCAGGCTGATCATCCAGGAGGAGAACCAGCCTGATCATCCAGGAGGAGAACCCGGCTGATCATCCAGGAGGAGAACCAGGCTGATCCAGGAGGAGAACCAGCCTGATCCAGGAGGAGAACCAGGCTGATCATCCAGGAGGAGAACCAGGCTGATCATCCAGGAGGAGAACCAGGCTGATCATCCAGGAGGAGAACCAGGCTGATCATCCAGGAGGAGAACCAGGCTGATCATCCAGGAGGAGAACCAGGCTGATCATCCAGGAGGAGAACCAGGCTGATCCAGGAGGAGAACCAGGCTGATCATCCAGGAGGAGAACCAGGCTGATCATCCAGGAGGAGAACCAGCCTGATCATCCAGGAGGAGAACCAGGCTGATCATCCAGGAGGAGAACCAGGCTGATCATCCAGGAGGAGAACCAGGCTGATCATCCAGGAGGAGAACCAGCCTGATCATCCAGGAGGAGAACCAGGCTGATCATCCAGGAGGAGAACCAGGCTGATCATCCAGGAGGAGAACCAGGCTGATCCAGGAGGAGAACCAGGCTGATCATCCAGGAGGAGAACCAGGCTGATCATCCAGGAGGAGAACCAGCCTGATCATCCAGGAGGAGAACCAGGCCTGATCATCCAGGAGGAGAACCAGGCTGATCATCCAGGAGGAGAACCAGGCTGATCATCCAGGAGGAGAACCAGGCTGATCATCCAGGAGGAGAACCAGCCTGATCATCCAGGAGGAGAACCAGCCTGATCATCCAGGAGGGAGAACCAGGCTGATCATCCAGGAGGAGAACCAGGCTGATCATCAGGAGGAGAACCAGCTGATCATCCAGGAGGAGAACCAGGCTGATCCAGGAGGAGAACCAGGCTGATCATCCAGGAGGAGAACCAGGCTGATCATCCAGGAGGAGAACCAGGGCTGATCATCCAGGAGGAGAACCAGGCTGATCATCCAGGAGGAGAACCAGCTGATCCAGGAGGAGAACCAGGCTGATCATCAGGAGGAGAACCAGGCTGATCATCCAGGAGGAGAACCAGGCTGATATCCAGGAGGAGAACCAGGCTGATCATCCAGGAGGAGAACCAGGCTGATCATCCAGGAGGAGAACCAGGCCTGATCATCCAGGAGGAGAACCAGCCTGATCATCCAGGAGGAGAACCAGCTGATCATCCAGGAGGAGAACCAGCTGATCATCCAGGAGGAGAACCAGGCTGATCATCCAGGAGGAGAACCAGGCTGATCCAGGAGGAGAACCAGGCTGATCATCCAGGAGGAGAACCAGCCTGATCCAGGAGGAGAACCAGGCTGATCATCCAGGAGGAGAACCAGGCTGATCATCCAGGAGGAGAACCAGCCTGATCATCCAGGAGGAGAACCAGGCTGATCATCCAGGAGGAGAACCAGGCTGATCATCCAGGAGGAGAACCAGGCTGATCATCCAGGAGGAGAACCAGGCTGATCATCCAGGAGGAGAACCAGGCTGATCCAGGAGGAGAACCAGGCTGATCATCCAGGAGGAGAACCAGCCTGATCCAGGAGGAGAACCAGGCTGATCATCCAGGAGGAGAACCAGCCTGATCATCCAGGAGGAGAACCAGGCTGATCATCCAGGAGGAGAACCAGGCTGATCCAGGAGGAGAACCAGGCTGATCATCCAGGAGGAGAACCAGCCTGATCCAGGAGGAGAACCAGGCTGATCATCCAGGAGGAGAACCAGCCTGATCCAGGAGGAGAACCAGGCTGATCATCCAGGAGGAGAACCAGGCTGATCATCCAGGAGGAGAACCAGGCTGATCATCCAGGAGGAGAACCAGGCTGATCCAGGAGGAGAACCAGGCTGATCATCCAGGAGGAGAACCAGCCTGATCCAGGAGGAGAACCAGGCTGATCATCCAGGAGGAGAACCAGGCTGATCATCCAGGAGGAGAACCAGGCTGATCCAGGAGGAGAACCAGGCTGATCATCCAGGAGGAGAACCAGGCTGATCATCCAGGAGGAGAACCAGGCTGATCCAGGAGGAGAACCAGGCTGATCATCCAGGAGGAGAACCAGGCTGATCATCCAGGAGGAGAACCAGGCTGATCATCCAGGAGGAGAACCAGGCTGATCATCCAGGAGGAGAACCAGCCTGATCATCCAGGAGGAGAACCAGGCTGATCATCCAGGAGGAGAACCAGGCTGATCATCCAGGAGGAGAACCAGGCTGATCCAGGAGGAGAACCAGGCTGATCATCCAGGAGGAGAACCAGGCTGATCATCCAGGAGGAGAACCAGCCTGATCATCCAGGAGGAGAACCAGCCTGATCATCCAGGAGGAGAACCAGGCTGATCATCCAGGAGGAGAACCAGGCTGATCCAGGAGGAGAACCAGGCTGATCATCCAGGAGGAGAACCAGCCTGATCCAGGAGGAGAACCAGGCTGATCATCCAGGAGGAGAACCAGCCTGATCATCCAGGAGGAGAACCAGCCTGATCATCCAGGAGGAGAACCAGCCTGATCATCCAGGAGGAGAACCAGGCTGATCATCCAGGAGGAGAACCAGGCTGATCCAGGAGGAGAACCAGGCTGATCATCCAGGAGGAGAACCAGCCTGATCATCCAGGAGGAGAACCAGGCTGATCCAGGAGGAGAACCAGGCTGATCATCCAGGAGGCCGGAGTAACGGCTCCAAAACCAGATGATCAACCAGACAATGACACACACACACACACCATTCTGGTTTGTCTATATGTAGTGAGGACCGTGAGCTTGAGTCATTTTAACCCTTTCTGAACCTGTTTGATTCACCTTTAGTGCTTTTCTTTCACCATTGGACCAAACAGTTAGTATTTGTGTGAATTATTTATGTTTTAATGTTCATATAAAGTTGAGCTGATAATTAAGAGAAGCTTGTTGCTGAGATGAGAATCTAATATTTCTTAGCAACTGTTAACTTTATGAACGTAAGCATTGCCAGGGATTCCTGACCTGAAGCGAACCGTTAGCAAAAGAGGAAGTGAGGACAACATGGTCCTCGCTCTGATGGCAAATAGGAGCAAACACACACACTAGTAGGGAGCAGCTAGAATTAGCCTGCTTCCCTTCAGGACTTAGCTAAATGCAGCCAATCGGCTCGGCTCTGCGTGTGTCTGCTCTGTGCTGTAAGAGGATTGGATGCCCCCCCGTCCATGTGGCTTCAGGCCGTCTCTGTCTTCTTTCTAATTGAATAACAGCGATCTAGAAGAGCCGACAGCAGGCAGCAGTTACAGAAACCAGAGGTGGGTTAGGGTGCATCCAGGAAGGGGATGCACGTTTCCTCCCAACACTGACTTCCTGGTTCCTTCCAACAGTTTAATCCAATCCAATAATTAATTTGTGTCCAATATAGATGGAAATTAAAAAGATGCTGATAAATGACATCATCAAAAGAGATCAGTTTTAATCCATCAAAAAGGCTCTCTGGTTCGGACCAAAGGTCTCACAAAGAACGGCTGGAGATAGAACCGTCTGAGTACCCAGAGGTCCACTGGACCCAATCTGACAGAACCAGGCAGCACAGAGACGAGCTTCAGGAGGCTCTGACCTGGCAGGAGTAGATCTGGTCCAAACGGACAACAGAACTCATTTAGAAATCTAGGTGGAACAACGCAGGAGTGGACCAGAACCAAAGCGGACCAGAACCAAGCTGGTTTCCAGTTCTATCGAGCTTTCAGCTCCACCTGATTCAATAGAAATTCAGTCACTGTGACGCAATCCTCCAGATTTCCTTCTGATATTTTTATGAGCCTTTATTTTGTTCATTTTTTAATGTGTGTAGACAGGAAACTGGGTTAGGAGAGGGGAGAGTCATTCAGCAAAGGTCAGCAGGGCCGGGACTCAAACCAGCGACAGCCGGTAGAGGTGTAATGCGCTCTACCACCCGCCATAGCAGGGAGCCCATTTTTCTGCTAT